CATCACCAGCGCCCACCCACAGAACTCTTCTCACACAGCGGACACGCAGCCTCGTGGCCCAGGCTCCTTTCTGTTCAGAGCCTGTTTGGTCAGCCACAGCACTTTTGTGTCACTGAATTTAGCAGTGCGCTGCTCAGAGTGTGTTTTGCTGTCCTCTCTTCCCAACCTGTCACTCACACCACTGGTTCTCCTTTGCATGAAGACAGCCGCAAGTGTGAGCCTGTACCTGGTCCTGCAGGCTGGCTAGGTAACACGGACACTTCTGGCGCCAGCTCCTAGAGGTAGCCACTGCTAACTTCTGGGGTTTCCACCTTATAAAACATTACTGTCTCATTAAAACTTCACCTATTTCATAAAACGTATATTGCTTTTAGAATATTTGCTTTATAGCCTTTTTTCAGGTTTGAAAGTTTGTTTAGAATGAGAAAAATAAATTTTTTAATGTATTTAGTGTAGGGACTCACTACAGAGATCAGACTAGTCGTGATCCTCCTATTTTTTTTTTTTTTAAACAGAATAAGGGTTTGTTTTTTTTTTTTTTTTTTTTTTCCTCCTCGAATGCCTTCAGGGCACTTTGGCCAGTGGGAGAGTTGTAAGGTTCGAACTCCAGGAACCTGAGGCTGACAGCTTTGTGGAAGCAGCCACTTAAAGGACTGAGCTAGGGCCAGGCCCCCGTGATCCTCCTATTTTCAGCCTCCCCAACCCTGGGATTACAGGTGCGTGTCACCACACCTACTCACAGTCGCTGTCTCAGCACACCCTGGGGGCGGGACCTGTACGGCAGGCAGGGGACCAAACCCCAGTCCCTGTGTCTGCCTAATAGAATGAGAAAAATATTACAAGAACTTTGAAGTATAAAAACTGACATACCAAAGCAGTGCAAACCTAAAATGATAAAGTTTTACTAGTCATCTGCCTAGTATTTCCTACCATGCTTAAGAGATTTACTTTCGGGGGGCTGTACACGCTTGTATCCTAGACAGTGATGGCATGGTATTTTTCATAGTAGATCTAGAGCTTTTCTTCAAATATGATTGATCAAAATACAGTTTTTCAAATTTTATTTTTTAAAAAAGACTTTAGTATTTTATAGCAGTTTGGGCTCAAAGCAAAATGCACAGTGCAGTTTCCATGTAGTCCCCGTCCACACATGCCCAGCCTCCTGCTTGTCGTTGTCCCCGATTAAACTGGCACATTTGGTGCAGTTGGCAGACCTGCCAGCCTGTCATCTCCAGCGCCTACAGTGACCTCTGGCTACGTCCAGCATGTGGCATTTCACGCTGGAAAAGTCCCTGTGTGTGGTCATATTCACCCAAGTCGCCCAACAACTGATTCTCACCAATGTTTTATTTTCTCTATAGTTTTGACTTTTCAGAACTGCACAGCATGTAGCCTTTTCAGATTGAATTCTCTCACTTTATAACATACATTTAAGAGCTGCAGAGATAGCCCGGTGGCATGAGTGCTTGCCCAGCAAGTGCAGGGTCCTGAGTTTGATCCCTGGCATTGCATGCCGTGCTGATCTCAGAACCAGGTATGGTGGTGCAGGCCTGTGATCCCAGCACTAGGGAGGCAGAGATAGTAGATCACTACAAGTCTGAGCTGCACAGCTGTATAAAAAAAAAATAATTTTTAACTTTTAAAAACTATGCATTTAAGTTTCTCCCGTGTGTTTTCATGGCCTGATAGCTCATTCCTTTTAGTTCCAAATAACACTCCAAAAGTGACCTGTTTTAACTCAGCATTCCACTACACTGACAGTTGTGCATCATTAAACACTCTGTTTCATCTTTGGGGAGCTGGTAGTTCAGTGAAGGTAACAGGAGGAGGACAGCTGAAAAGGAAGAAACTCAGGAAAGCGGGGGTGCCTAGGGACCTTGGGGGCAGGTGGCCCTGCAGTGTGGCCCCTCTCCTTGAGGTGACTGAAGATGCAGCCAGAGGTTGTCCCTTTCTTTAGAAGTTGCTTATGCTTAGCACGGCAGATTGCTTTCAGTAGCTGTGGTGCAGTATAGGTGACGTTAGCTCTGTTATGCGGTCAGGTTCTGAGTTGCAAGCAATCCGTGTGTGTCAGGTGCTGAAGCTTGAGCAGGAGAGGCTTGGCAGGGCCCAGAGACCTGGGTGTGGAGGAGCTGAGGGAGGAGACAGGGCCTGCTTGTTTGGTTACATAGTTGTTTAATGAGTGTGTACATGACTGCCCATGCTGGAAGGGAGCATCCTGCTCTTAACAACTTTGATGCTAAAAGATCTGACTCAGGCAGCAGTGGTGCCAGTATAAATTGGTAAATCCTTTGGGGGCCACATTAAGCCTAGGCAGCATCTGTACAAGTGTTAACCAGGTATGCCTTTGCCCCAAAAATGCCACTTAGAGAACTCGCTGTAAAGCCATCTCCACTGATGTTCTAAAGAGGTGTGCCTAAGCAGCACATGGTGTGTTGTATATGGGCTTTAGTGTAAATAGAATAGATTTCTGTAGTGTTTCCTTACGTTCCCAGAACCTGTCTTAAGTGTTTTCACCAGCATTAGCCTTATAACAGTGCTTTGTGGTGATAATTACTGGTATTGTGTTATGATGAAGAAAATGACAGAGTCAAGTCTGACAAAGTCGCACAGCTGACAGTCGATGGACAGCGGTATGAGCAGCGAGGTGAAGTGGTCTCAGTGTCTACTACCTGCGATTACAAACAAGTCCACCTGCTAAGTGTATGTGCTTTGAGTGTGTTTAAGAACCTCCCAAACATGGAAAGAAAATCTCTCTCTCCCATGAAGAGTGTGCAGATGTGTACAAATGTGTGCCCTAAGGCGCATACCCTAAGGCGCATACCCTAAGGCATGTACCCTAAGGCGCATACCCTAAGTTCTGGCTGGTACTTTGTCTCTGGAATAGGAGTAGCATCAGGAAGTGAAGAAAGTTGTATTATACTAAGAGTTCGTGCACCTCTATTAGGGCTTTTGTGTGTTTGCGTTTTGTTTGTTTTTAATGTATTTAGTGCAGGGTCTCACTACATAGATGAGACTCTTAGTGATCCTGCTGTGTTCAGTCTCCCAAGCACTGAGATTACAGGCACATGCCACCACGCCCAGTCTCAATCGCTGTCTCAGCGTGTGCCCAGGGCTCGAACTCCCAGTCCCTGCATCTGCCTAAGCAGCTGTTTTAATCCAATGAGCTATCTGGCCCACCCTCATGTTTGTTTATA